CCGATGCATAAGATACATAGCATACAGCGAATACAGTGTATACTACGTATACCTATTTCAGGTATATGATCTACATAGCCGTTAGTTCATTACTGTGCTGCACCGATTACCTCCTTCCGGTATCACAGTCCTACGGCTCACACCGGTAAACCCATTTTAGGTAGGTGATTGACATAGCCGTTTATTCATTACTGCGCCACACCGATCACCTGCTTTGACGAGCTTCCGGCACCACCACCCTACCGCTCACACTATCAACCCAAATCGAGTTCTCAATAGGTTTTATGGAGCAATTGACAATCGGGGGCTTAGTCAAGATCTACGGCATCATTACTTCAATGAGGCTGTGCGCATTCACTTCACAGGTTTGTACACCACCACGTGGGTTCCGACGGGTTTGCCAGTAACATCTAACCTAATTGAAATTTTAGATCCATTTTAATTTTCCAGATATGAATATTATATCTCTATTACCGTTACTTCTAGTTTGCTATTGGTAAGTAAGTGTAAAAATTTAACAATGTCTACCAATTATTCTGACAATTATTACTTTCATAATATGAAATCAGTTGGAAATGAATCATTTTGTACAATACGAGAAGATAATGGTTCAAAATTTGACAATTTCATTTCAGAAAAGACTGTAAAAAAGGTAAAGAAAAAAATTGATAATTTATTGTCTTTATACGCTTAGATTATGAGATTAAGTTTTATGCCATCTTTTTTACACCACTGATTTAACATAATTCATATCGTGGACGATATTTTGAAAATCAGCTAAAGTAGTCGAATGTAACTTTCATGGTCATGAGCTACTTTCAAGACTTTCGTGTGATATTAAGGGAAAACCTTTATTAAAACAACTCAAACATGCAATAAGTCCAATCGAATCTAAACCTACTACTTTTTCACATTTTCAACTTGGCTTGGTAGATGAAATTTCAATACACATTTTCTAATATGTAGAATCTCCTTTAAATTTAATGTTAACATGTGGACATTGTATAAAATCCAATCGATCAACAAGCAAGGGCAAAATGGATTATTTATAAATATGGACATGCACATGCACTTTTGCAGCGATCAAATTTGGTCAACATTTTATCAATCTATCTGTTGCTAAGGTATCATCGCTAGCAAAGTTATAATATCCAGGTGCTTTGTTCAATGGCTTCTTTTACATTTAGGAAAAAAATTAGATAAGAATCTTTTTGCATTAAAAATGAATACTATAACAATTCTGGATGTCTGAATAATAATTCATTTCAACAAACTATACATTGGGCCAATGACTTGGAACCCATAGTTTTTTTATATATATTGAAAGTTGCTGCAGAACAATTTGATGAATCACGACTTCCACTAAAAGGAAATTAAATGTAAATGTTTCACTTTTTATCTACTGGCCCATATACTCTTAAAGAAGTTAAAGTCATTATGATGAATTTGGATCGAGTCAAGTATTTAATTTTGGACCAAAAATTTATTTCTTTCCCTCCACAACCAAGAAACAAAAATAAGCAAATTACAACAGAAGAATACCCAGCTAATGATGATTATGAAAATAATAGGCAGCTTAATGTAATTGCCAGAACAATATTGATTCATCCAGATTTGATGTCCGATTGGCATAAGGTCGAATATCACAGTATTTGTAAAGATGTTAATGGATTGGTCATGCAAGGTGCTATTATTATGCTTTTTCTCCAGCAGCTACAATTAACTGAGCACCACCAATCCCGAGAAGTATTTGAACAACTTTAGGATTTGATAAAGTTTGGATTTGAATTGGATTATACAGTTATTGTAGAAATATTGGTGATTGAAAGACAATTGGTTGAGATTGGAAATACAATGATAAAGTCATTTTTACAAACACTGGATAGAATTTTTGCATAAATGTTTAATTTAATTATTTCGAACGTTTCTATTGGACTAAAGGCTAAAAAAGACTGATGTTCTAGATTTCCTGTATTCATTGATTGACAAAGATCATGAAAAAGTATTTTTTAAAACCATGAACTTTGTTCTTGAAAATAGATCGGATGATAATAATAACAGTCTACTTGCACCCTTAAAATTCCCGGCATTTTATTATTGCTGGATATTGAGTAAATTTGGAGCAGATGCAAAATTACTGATTTGCGTTTTAAAGTTATTTTGATGAAAAGAGTTAATATTGATGTTTTTGTTCAATAATATCATCAACGAAATTATGTTTTAAGTGAACAACTTGAAAATAATTAAATGATGCGCTTAAAACTTTTAATATTATAAACTTCTTTAAACCATCGCACTTGAAAATTATCAAACAAGTTACTCATGTCGATATATTTGATGGATTAAGACAATATTTGACTAAATTATTTATGCAATAATCGCAAGTTTCTGCCAATTGTTCTGATGATATGAACATTGACAATATTTCAATATTTACTCAAAAACGAAAGCGGTATGATCTAGAGTTGAATGATTGATATAATGAAATAATAAAACTACATGTTGACTTAAATAGCTCTTCAATGTCGGGTGAATTCGGTGAATTTTTAAAGAACATTTTGGGATTAATTAATGGCTTAAGTCGTATGTGAACGAAATTGATCATTAGAGAGAATCCAAAAGGCACAAGAGAAAAAAATAAGTAAAAAAATAAATAGTGTTATATCACTTCAATGCAAATTGAATAAAAACTTTGAATAATATTTTCAGGTTTTGATTTTGAGTCGTCATTCATAGGTATGACAAATTCTACAAACACTATAGCAGTGTTTATATGTCAAGGATTAGGACTTGTGTATGATATAAATGTTATAAATTAGTATTGGAGTCGTTGGCGGAATGGAATTCATAAATATTTGTAGTGATATTTATAGTAAATTTATAACAAACTTTATAAATTCACTTAGTGCGCATATTTATTTTATTTAAGAATATTATATCGCACTCTTTTAAGCTTTTTTTATTCGTAACATATCTTCAAATAAATCAAATATTACAAAATAAATTTTGGGGGTTTTCTCGTATATACGATATATATTTTTATTCGTTATTAAATTTAGCCTTCACAAATATCACCTGATTTTAATAAAACATTTAACATCTAAAAACTGTATAAAGTTAAAAATATTTATAGCAATTTTATTGTAATCACAACTTCTCTGTACCATGAAAAAATCATTTTCTTCAATTCATATAAATTTAATATCATTTTTTTTAAATATTAACGGTGAGGCCATGCCTTTAACTTTATTGTTTAATATCATTTTTTATTACTATCGTTATTGATATATATAGATATTTTCCACATGAATGCCTTGAGGAAGATGGGTGATAAACATTTGCAAACTTATTGGTTTCAGGTATGCCTGAAATAAGAAGTAAAACTCTAGTTCTTCAATTATGGGCTTGAAAAGAATTGAAATATATTTTAAAAAGTTTTTTTAGAAAAAATCTAAATTTTTTGTTTTATCATTCTTAGTTTTCAAGATTAGGAGTTATTCAATTAATGTTTTGGATTTTATTTTATTTTTTTAATGGTCGGAAATGATGCAAGTGATAAATTATAGAACATACAGAAGATTTTCTCATATGATCAAAAGTTTTCATATTTGAGTAAAAAATAAATAATAGTAAACATTGCCTAATAAGTAATATTGATTCTTTTAATTTTCACTAATTATATTGTATTGTTTTCTATAAATTTAGTATTTTGTATCATTATTTACTTTTTATTTGTTTTTATATTAAAAAACTAGTAACTGATTAATAATATTAACTATTAATAAAGACTTTATAGTCTTAATTAATAATTAATAATAAAATATATATTCAATGTTTTGAAACATAATAATAAAAATTTTTTAAATATCATATAAATAATAGAAGAATCTTTAAGAAATTTCTTTTTAATATTTATTAATAATAGAAGTAATGAAATATTAAATTTAGAAAGTATAGTAATCTAGTAAAGTAATCAGGTTGTTAATATTTCAAGTGGAGAATAGGTGTTCAAATCCCATCAATAACAAAAATTTAAATAATCACCTATGTAATATTTATATTATGGCAATTGTTACTAATAATTAGGTTAGAATATCTGTAATAGCAGTTATACAAGCATGACTGGCAAGTTATGAGACATCTTGTAGTTATACAAAGGAATACAAACTGACAATCAGATAATACAAATACTAGATTAATTCTTATGCATATGTAAATTTATTGAAATTAAATAATAAGAAGTTCATTTAGAAAGACCTAAGTAAAGAGATAATAAGATCTTTGACAATACTGCTATAAAGATTAGTTTAAAAAAATAGATACCAAGGTTATAGTACTCAGATGGGCAAGAACCTTTAGATTAGAAAAATCTTGAAGATACTATCAACCAGATTACTAAATGAAACAAAGGAAAAAGATATTGGTCTGAATTTTTTTATATATAAGTATTATTAATTTTATTATATAGTAAACTAATTTAAATAGTAGTTTTCTTTTTATTATAAATTTTTTATAATAATCATAGTTGAAATTTTGCAAATTTATATATCAAGATTACACCAAAGTACTTGCATAGTAGCACAAAAAATACTTAATTATGATTGGTTAATTTAGAAATATATCAAAAAATTTTAATTTTTTAATTTTTTTAAAAAAAAATTAACCAACTTTGAGATTTGTTTAAACAATTTATAATCAAAAATTAATTTAATTTTTTTTTATAAATATATTCTATAAATTATCAAATATTAAATATATTTTTTTAATTACAAATTAATATGTAAAATTTTGTGTAATTACATTTTAATTCAAATATATCAGGTTGGTGTATCATATTTAATGAGATAACCAATAGTTAAAAATTATTAAAAGAGATGCTATATTTTATAACTATTATAAATATAAAAATATATTTACTAAGTTATTTAAAATAAAATAAATAATTCTTATATAACAAAGATCTGGATAATCTACTAAAATTATTTATTTGTTTACTGGATTTTTTAATAATTTATAGTAAAATTCAAATAAAACTGAATTAAAAAAAAACGATAAAAAAAATTAAAAAATTATTATTATATTTTAGATATTTAATCTAGATTTTCTTTTAAAATTTTATTATTTTGTTATAATTCAAATCAACATTCTATAACTAAAAATATTTTCAAATTTTAGAATTCAATTGTTATTGTTAATTGAAGAATTATCATAGTTATATAATGAAAGATTACAAATGAATAATGACATTAATTGGGTAGATTCTAATGTTCAATCTAAATTAGATGCACTAGAAATTGTCGAACCATTAAAAGAATTTACTAAAATTAACAAAAAAATTAAAAAAGAAGATTGCAAGTAATTCCAATCATTCTATACTAAACTATATTATGATTGTCAAATATTGTATAATTTTTAATAGAATTTATTAAAGATTCTTCTCAATTTTTGATTTAATACAAAATTTAAATTTTATATAACTTATGATTTTAAATGATAAAAATTAATATTTAGGTTTTTAATTCATTAAAATTTCCAATATATTTAAATGCACGAATATAAAGAAAGTTGTACACAAATAGTTTGAAATTAAAATAAAGTATTCATAAATTTGATTGGTTTATTATAACATGCGAATTAAAATTAGATCAACTAATCAATGGATTTTTAACCATGCTGTTGCACGCCAGGTGAAGGATCAATCGTGTAACGTCGGCGGTTCCTCCTGTTGGCAGAAATAGCAAATCGCCAAAATAATTACCAATTTAATGATATATCAATAATTATTTTTGAACCCGGACAAATTTTATGTATGACATAATAACATTTAGGTCTGGATTCAAAAACGATTATCCATATTGCTTTGCCGGCATTATAAGTATTATAAAAAATCGTGCGCATGATTTCATATGCATGTCATGCGCATTGCGCATCACTAGTCATGATGCGGAGTTATGGCATTACTTCAATGCTCACTTTCTAAATTTTACAATACATTCTGTTTCCGGTTTCGCGTAAGTATAGAGTGAGTGGCACGGAGTCATGGGATGTCAAGGCGGCATGTCTATTGTGGCATGCAATAGTCATGTTAAATACTCAAATCGCCTGTAGGCATGGCATTTATATATTCAAAAAAGTTTCGAATTGAAAATAAATTAATGTAAATTCCGAAAGGAAGATTAGAGCAATGCACCGAAGTATTCTGAAAGCTATTTTATAGTAGATGATAACTGACAAATCCAAATTGAGTACATCTATCACGTGGTTTATATCTTATCGTGAGCCGTAGGACTGTAATCCAGGAAGGAAGAATCGAAGAGGCACAGAACGGGTATGTCGATCCTTTACCTAATATGGGCTTCCCGGGATTATCGCTCCTAAAAGACGTTTATATCTAAAAAGGCCAATAAGGGTAATAAATACAAAACGATGATTAATGGGTTATATGGGTTTTAAGTAATAAAGGAAATTGCAGGGGTATATGCGGGATAATAGGGATAATATGTTTAATGGGTTTAATCAGTTTAATACTTTAAAGAACGCATATGTAATAGAATAGTATATAATAAAGACTTCGAGCCCTCCAAGAACAGTTCAGTTCGCGCTTATCATAAATTTCGCCCCTATATTAATTCTCTGTTTCATTGTATTATAAAACCTACGATCATAAACACACCACTCTCCAAATCTAACCGCCTCTTATCGACTAAGCCGTTCGTAGGTTACACGACATATCTCTATGACAAGCGACTGACTCGCCGTTTCGCTCGTGTCAACATGCAACATTAAGCAAATCTATTTTATATCATATGAGTGACACCAAGAGAAAACTTGCAAATATTATATGTAAAAGTAAGTAAATCTGCTTTAGAGGATCATGTGATCACTTATAACACGATTGACAGGAGCGTCATCTAAAATAGTATAATAGTATTAATATTAAAGGTATAATTGTATTTTTAAACATGTTTTACTCTTTTATCATTTAATGCACTTTTTGTCAAAATGCCTATTAATAACTTATTTTGTAATTTATGCTTCAAACGGCCTAAACCAAAAAAAAGTTCTCCAGAAGTTATTCAAACAGCCAACGATAATATCCAACCGCATTTAGAAGATGGCAAGTCAAAAGAATTTCTTGATGAAATTGTTAAAGAAATTTGTAGCTTGTATAATGATGAAAGTTTAAAATACAAAAGCTTCTTTTTAAAGATGGAGAGAATAGAGAAATTTCTTGAAAAAAATAATCAAAATCCGATTCAAATTATCAACTACTGCTTGGATAGTGAATTTGGTCCTATGGTTCAGATCATTGCAAATTGTTATTGTTATGGTAAATGGGTTGAAAAGGACGAAAATAAAGCATTCATTTATTATCAAAAATCTGCAGATATAGGAAATGCTATTGGAATATTTAGTATTGGATACTGTTATTGTAATGGAATTGGTGTCGAAAAGGATATATGTAAAGCAATTATTTATTTTCAAAAAGCTGCCGATATGGGAATCTCTTATGGAGCATTTAATATTGGAGCCTTTTATGAAGAAGGATATGGAGTTGAAAAGGATGAATATACTGCATTCATTTATTATCAAAAAGCTGCAGAGATGGGGGACACCGAAGGAATGTCAAAAGTTGCAGAGTGTTATCGAAATGGAATTGGAGTAAAACGAGATTTGCAAAAAGCAAAATATTGGTATCAAAGGTAAATTATAATCATTTAACGTATATTATATAGTACATTGCGCAACAAATTTCTGACTATTACGTGGCAATTCACTGAAGGTTATTTCTTAGCCAATCCAATTTATCAACATTATATTGTCGACATTCTATTTTATCTACAGCACATTTTTTCGAATGACATTTATCCATCACATGTTATCGATAACACTCTTCTCAGCAAGACATTTCTTTGATAATTATTTCCCGACATAATTTTAACCAACACTAATTCGGGAAATAATTGTTGTTAAGATGTCTTGTATAAGAAAAGGCTGTTTAAAATACGTAATGTCGATTAAATGCCTCCTTGTAAAAATGTGCTGGAGGTAAAATGTCTTATCGGTAATATGGTGTCGATGAAATGCAGGGAAATAACTTCCGGAAATGAGCGTGTACCTTTCGGAGATCAAGTTAAATATGAAATCATATTAGGATAGAGTAATAATACTTGTCTTAGGATGTTTTTTTTTCATTAGAACATAAGAGCTGATTTGTAAATGAAAATTTGAATTGCAGTAAAATCTCCATAAGTGCACCCTCTATAAGTGCACACACACTCTAAATGCACGCTTAAATTGAACTCAAATATATACATGACCTCTATAAATACACTTTTCTTATTATTCTCTAAGTGCACATAGTTAAAGTTCGGTCCCGAGAGCGTGCGCTTATGAAGGTTTTACTGTATTCTCTAAGTGCATGTCATTAAAAGTTCGGTCCCGAGGGTATGTACTTATGGAGGTTTTACTGTATATCCGATTTTTGGTTTTAAAAAAATTAGGATTATTTGGTTTCATGTTATTCTTGATCTTTAGAATTTATTTGTTTATCAAGAATTATGCATTAAATTACAGAAACCATAAAACTCGAAATAAGGCGCAGTGGTGAAATTACAAATTTCGGCCCAAGTTAAGCTTAATTCTGGCCGAACCTCGAAATAACTCCCATGGTCGTTATTTTGAGTTTATGGGAAGTTTCAAGAACACGGAACCCAGTGATCATCACATCACATGATCAAACACTCGGCCTAAGTTAGGGTTAGGGTTAGGGTTAGGTGGTATTTTAATTTAGACGGCCGATTATTAGTGCTGGTAAACAAATGACGGCATTGCATGATTTCACGTGATGTGATTATCACTGGGTTCCGTGTTCTTGAAGTGTCCAGAGTTTTTACGGTAAGTTTTCGATCATGTGATGATAGTGGGTTATATATTTTTTGAGTTAGAAAGAGTTTATGAGGCTTTTTATTGAAGAATAAATAGGTCAAAACTCTGAGATAATTTCATTTTATTCAAAAATTTGGGGAGTTTGAGTTTGTCAAGTTGCATCTGATGCTGACTTTTCACTGACCAATTCGGGTCATATCTTATATGATCGGAAAGTTGTTCCTACGCCTTGGAGTTGTTATTAAATTACAATCTTAAATCACCACTAGCACTAACATTCTATTTATTTAATAATTTCATCAGAAATTAGAATAAACGACACAATGGCAGGTATAATCTGTCACAAACAATTTTCAACTATATTTCATTTATATTAATATAATTTTTATATTTAATTATTAGATACAAATGAAATGATATCTAAAAATCCTGAAATTGATGATGATTTAAAAAAAATACTAATCGAATATAAATATCAATTGTCTTGGATGTCTTACGATGAATTTAGCAATATTAAAGAGATAGGTAAAGGTGGATTTGCAACTGTATATTTTGCTGAATGGCGTGATAAAAATGATAATATGGATAGAGATGTTGCTCTTAAATTACTTCATAATTCAAGTATTCATCGTGAAGAATTTATAACAGAGGTAATCTTTAGTGAATATTTTCATTAATTATTTATAATTTATTATAATGATAATAACAATTTATACATGTATATTTTTTAAAAATAAGTTAAAGGCATATTGCGATATTGGTCTTAATGATCCAACTTTTTTAAAATGTTTCGGTATATCGAGAGATAAGGCGTCTAAAGATTTTATTCTTGTAATGAATTATGCTCAAAAAGGATGTTTACGTAAAAATCTTCATGCTATAGCACAAATGGACTGGAAAGATAAACTAAATTTATTACACTGTATTGCAACTGATCTTCAGATAATTCATTCGCAAGATCTTATTCACCGAGATTTGCATAGTGGAAACATACTGCTTAATAATTTGAAAAGTGCATATATTGCAGATTTAGGACTTTCAATAACTGCTAATATTGCATTAAAATCAGGTTTTGATGGTATTTGTGGAATTTTGCCATACATTGCACCGGAAGTGTTAGACAAACGACCATATACTAAAGCATCCGATATTTATTCATTTGGCATAATCATGTGGGAAATTTTATATGGTAAATCTGTACCTTTTAACCAAAAACAAAAACTACAATCTAATTTCCAACTTCAATTACAAATACTTAACAGTTTGCGTCCACATATTTATGAAAGGACAGCAAAGTGCTACGCTGATTTAATGAAACGATGTTGGAATATAAAACCTGAAGAACGACCGACAGCAACAGAAATTTGTGAGATTTTTACAACATGGCAGAACAGTGAATATATTTTATCTGAATTAATTGAATCTGATAAACAATTACAAAATATAAAAAGCGAAGATACGCAAGCAAAT